ATAACTGAAAACTACAAATTTTAGATGAGGCACTAAACGTCATTAAAATGGATGTGGAGAGCTTTCGTGGCACAGTCATGTTTGTGAAAGTGTTAAAAAGTCTTCTAGCACTTCAAATCTAATTTTACAGCTAAATATAATTTCATGGCTAAATTTAAAAACTGAAAAGAGGGTACCAAAATGTAGCTAAAGTATTTGCAATTGGTATCTGGAAGGAACAAGAATTATGAAGGTGTTCTTTGAAAGTTTAGCAAATATTTTTCTTTAGATGCAGATTCTAAAAGGTACCTCAGACTTCCCTTAAATTCTATTTCTTCTCTTCAGTTTTCCCCTGGACACCTCCACTTTCACTTCACTGGAAACTCCGTTCATCTTTTATATCCACCCTACTGCAAACTGATATTATTTTCTTACCACGTAGGCATTGGGCATCCCCATAGAATTTATCTTCTGTCTCCTCTCCACCCTCATAATAGATAGTCATCATTTGCTCCAACTGCCACAGTATTCTAAATTCACATGTGTTTTGAAATACATGTGAATCTCGTTGGTGCACATATTTTCTTCTTCATATTGCCACATCTGGAAGGTTTTCTAGTTGTATGATCTATATCACTTTTTAAAAATATGTATTTTTTTAGTTGGACACAATACCTTTATTTTAGAATTTATTTTTATGTAGTGGTGAGGATTGAACCCAGTGGCTCGCATGTACTAAGTGAGCGCTCTACTGCTAGGCCACCACCCCAGCCCCACGATCAATGTAATTTCAAGCTAGAAACCTTTTCTTTCTGGTGCCTAAACCTTACATCATGATGAACCATAGGAATTCCCTCAGACCTTTTCTTTCTCCTTTCCTTTCCTGTACCCCCCTCACCTTTTTTTTTTTTTTGCCTTCTTATTCTACTACTTACCTATCTTAAAATATTACCCTATCAAGAAATTGCAAATTCTTTTTGCCTTGGGGTCATTGAATGCATCATATTCTTTTAGGCTAGCAAATCATTTTGCTTACATGGCATCTTTTGCCAGAATAAAAATGTGCTGGACAGGAGAGTTAGCTTAGTACAGAGTTAGCTTAGAACAGAAAAGTTAAGATTGTTCATTGCCCAAGTAAAACTGTGTATTTTGAAATATGTTTTAAGCGAAAACAAAGATGAGAGATCCAAGAGGTTAAGGTCTGAAATACTCGTGGATCTCTTTAAGAGCAAAGAGTACAGTAGAAAAATGCTTAGGGTAAGACCTTTATAGCAGTCAAGTACTAATAATAATAGGTTTTCCTAGAGAAGAGGAGTCAACTTCTGATCATACAGGACCAGGAAAGGCATTTAATATCTGTTTGTCCAGTCTTGTTTGCACATATAAAACTGGAGTCAATAGATAAAAATCATGAAGACTTTCATAAGTTCAATTATAAGCTAATATTTGACAAGTAGGTGCCTAAAAAGTAGAACAGGCAACTGTGAATAGCAAGTTTTCAGCAGAATTATGCAGAATGGATTGATAACTGCTTGTCAAGAATGCTGGGGTTGGAGAGCTTTTTTTCCTAGTCTGGATTACTTATTCAAGATTAAGCACTTGGAGATGGTGTCTTTTTAAATAAAAATACCAAAAATTCTAGTAATAAAATTTTAAGTTAATTCCTATCATACAACATAGAAAAGTGTAGCAATAACAGTGCTTTTAAAATTCTGAAGGCTTTATGTCAACCCTTACGGCATACCAGGTGACAATTGGACGTAAGCTGTTAGATAATAAAAGTTATTTGGAATTTTAAAGAGACTTAAAATTTTGTGTTTCTTGGACCATAACAATATTGAAGGCCTTTGAATCCAAACACTAAGTATAACCTAGACTTTTCTTTTATATAAATCTATAAAGGATTCAAAGAAAAGTCTTTAGAATTTAAATATATAACTTAGATTTTGTAAATTTAATACATCAATACAAGAAGAATTTCTAGATATGTAGTAGTTTAATAGGTAATATGTCTGATTTCCATTACTTCGTTTTGGCATCAGTGTAAAAGGATTTTTTTCAGGATAAATTGAGTTATTTTAGTATCAAGGAGAATCTTGGTTTGGACTACTCTCAAAATTTCAAAAGTTTGAATAAATGAAGAGAGCCTGTCTTGAGGTGTGTAATCTTTTAAATAGCACTAGTAGACTGCATCACTACTGTCTTTGGGCCTCAGTGTAGGCAGGGCAGAAGGGAAAAGGCATATGTATTTTTCATTTTTGAAATGTAAAACTTACACAAAAGCTCTCTGGTCATGTGTGCCCCAATTTGGTTCTTCCTTTTATGAGACTTGTGGTTAAAGTTGGAGAGACTACTGCAGACTTTGGTAGAATATTATATTCCTGCCCTATTAAGGTAATTACAGCATAGTAATTCTGGTTTACCTTACTACCCCAAATTTAGGCTTGGATTACATGGCTTTCCACATAGCAATTGGCAAGATTTGAGTATACATCCATCCATTCCTTTTCTCTTCCTTGTTCTTTGGGTTCTTACCAAGTTGCCCAGTCTAGTCTCAAACTTGGAATCCTCTTGCCTGAGTAGCTGAGATTACAGATGTTTTTATACTGCATTTTGCTGAGTACACATTTCTAAGTTTTTGTCCAAATTAGTCCTTAACCTTTCCATTAATTCATTGAAAAACTGGATGAATAAAACATTTCTGTTCTTGGGGATTCAGTATAACAATGATTTGTTTACAAGAAGATGTAATCAGTGTTTCTGGAAAAACTGTTGGTAGCATGAAAACAAAACCAGTATTTGCAGTAAAGTTAGGTGATGAGATATTTCCATGAATCTCCACATGACAGCAGTTGGAGACAGATCACAAACCTGTCTGGTGTTGGTATCTGTTGAAGTATGGGGAAGAATTAGGGTAGTATTTGATAGACATGAGAACACCAGAATCCCAAGTTAGCCAACAGCCATTTACTGAGAAGCAGCTAAAACTTGGGATTTAATCCTTTTAGTGAATGCAAGGCACCCATCCATACTAAGGACTTGTAAAGGCCAGAGTAGTTCACCCAGGAATCTCTCAAAACTGACGGGCCAGGTTTTTTAGGGACTGGACTCCATGCTGCAGAGAAAATACTTAAACTGGTATCAATTTATCAGGATAAAGAAAATAGAGGATCAAGCTGGGTAGGTGAACAAAGCCAGGAAAATGTCAACAAAGTATTTGAATATGACTCAAAAAAGAAAAAGAAGAAAAATAGAAAAGATAGCTCTCTGAAGTTTTTCTGTACCAGGCCTCATTCTAAAAGTTCAGGAAAAAAATGTAAAGATCATAAATAAGGGGCTGGAGATGTAGCTCTATTGCATCACAAGGCCCTGGGTTCAATTTCCAGCAACACACACAAACACAAAATGATGATCAATAAAAAATAAAGTTGACTCTCAAAAGGTTGTCAAGATGTAATATGAATGTATTAGTAAACCTAAAATGGAGTGAGTATCTCTGAAGAATTGGGAACATTTATGTATGCATTTGACTTGGGTGTTACTAAATCAGTCCTGGAATGAACTGTTAGTGAAGCTAGCAGAATAAATGATTCCGTTTTCATGTTCTCAGGAATATTTTCATTCTTGCCTTATTTCATGCCCTCTTGGATAAGGGACTGGAAAAGGAGGAGGTTTTAATAGTCATGGTTTACTTATGAGGGCACAAAGAGGACAAGGAAGGAACTTGGGAGAATTGGGGTCTGCTCATTTCATCTAGGGTTTCTGATCCATTTTCCTTTCACATTGTCTTGTTACCCTCCTTACCCACCCTCTTACGATTGAACCCAGGAGTACTCCAACATATCTGCTACCCTTTTTTAAAATTTTTTTTTGTGACAGGGTCTTGCTAAGTTGCTGAGGCTGGCCTCAATTTGTCACCCTCCTGCCTCAGCCTTCGGAGTCGCTGGGATTATAGGCCTGCGCCACTGCACCCCCTCTTGTCCCGACTTTCATCCTTTTCCAGACTACTGGGCATGTCCCTACCTTAGTTCTGCCATTTGCTAGCCTGAAGTCATTATCATTTGTCTTCTCATTCCATATCTATTTTAATCAACACTTGGATTGAATGCCCACTATGTACTAGACACCTTATTTTATATATGGTGCCCAGAGAAAGTCTCTGATTTGTACACTAGAATGTAAACTCCAGGAGGGTAAAGACCTGCCCGGCTCAGTATCGAATCTTCGGAGATTAGAATAGTGCCTGGCACTTACTGTACATCCACTATTGAGTGAATAAATGACGTCGATCAGGAAAGTTACCCTATTTTTTTTTGTTCTGTAGATCAGCAAGCAGCAGGTGTAGTTATCTAAAATTGTCACTTCTCTCCAACACAACTCCTGCTGAAACACGAGGACAGTCATTGTGCCTCATGAAGATCCACCGGCTAGACCAGGAGAGTGACCGCCCAAGTGAGACGAGACAGGTCCCTGCCCTCTTTCAAGGTCACCTTGATAGTCTGGAATAAGGAGTCTTTCGTGAACCAAGGAATCTTAAATACCACAAAGCTGCCAACACTGAGAACAGTGCTTAGCTCACACTGTCTCAACAGATGTTGGTTGGCTGAACGACCAATAAGCCGCGACCCTCTGTGACAGGCGGACTCGGGTGTAGAGGGTGACACATTCCCAGCGAAGAACTGGGTGAGGCACAAAGTCCGGATGGCGAGTCGTTCTCAGTGGCTGGTCGTACCTGGGTAGCACTGGCTCTAACCACACAATATTTGAGATCGTGGGGGAAACACAAAAGTACGTACATTCTGCGCGTGCGTCACTCTCCGGGCGCGACCTGCCCGCCCGCCGGCTTTCTATTGGTGGCCTGAATGAATTGTCGCAAGCTTGACGTCATGTACCTGCCAATCAGAAGCAAGCGATCTTCATCCTTGTCCAATGGGATCGGGGATAGGTCACGGCCCGCTGTATTTGATTTTCGTTCACGGACGCGGAAGTGGCGAGCCAGACCTAAGTAGGCGCCACTGGCTTCCTGGGTGCTAGAGGTCTGGGTGCGCCTCCTGCGGAGTTTGTCCCGGCTGATCGCGGAGGTCCGGGACCGACCCCGGTCGGCTCAGGCCCTTTGCTCGTAGCCTTTTTCTGCCTGGCGTCTGCAACTGGTGGTGCGCGGGCCACGCGGGATCCGGGTCTGGGCGCTTCTGGACCAGGGCCGGCGCGTTCTGGAATTCCTTGCTTGAAGATTCGGAAACCATCTTCCTTAACGCCCTCCGCTTGGTATTTTCCTCGTCGGAAGCTCAGTTTCTGAGGAAGGTGAGCAAGGCTACCTTGCTGGGTTGGAAGAGCCCCTGAGGCAGTAAGCGACACTAACGGGCCCTGGTAACACACAGCCTGTTACTTAGTAGTGGAGGACTACCGCGCGTTCATTCTCCTAATATTTAAAATGAGCGCAGAGGGGTGGGATACTCAGCTAAATTTGTGAGACGAGATACCAGTCTTCTATTATTATTATTATTTTTTTTTTAAGAGCGATGAGACAGGTCCCTGCCCTCTTTCAAGGTCACCTAAACTCATCCCTCTTCTGAGCCACTGCAGAGAGCATTAAGGGTGGACTGAGCTTCCCTATCGCAAACTGACTTAAAACCTTTCCCTGCTACTTCTCTTTTATAGAATCAGGCATCTTATAAAATTTGAGTGTAACTTAAGTTTTGTTTATACTTCCCCCACCTCCAACAATATTTTTTTCTCTCCTTGATGCTGGCCAGAACTTGGGAGGCTGAAGCAGGAAGATCACAAGTTTGAGACCAGCGTGGGCAACTTAGCAGACCCTGTCTCAACAGCAAAAATAAAAAACCCCCAAAAGGCTGGGAATGTAGCTCAATGGTAGAGCCCCTGGATTCAGTCCCCAGCATTGCAAGAATGATGCTGGCCAGGAGAAATTAGTTGGTGGTGTAATGAAAGGTCCCTTCTAAGCTATTTAATGTAGTTTATGTGGCAATTATTTGTCAAGAGTAATACTTTCTACAATTTTTCCCAAAGGTACCAGGAAACTGATAATGTTTCCTTGAATTTTCTTCAATGTCTCTCATACTGAATATCTTAAGAGAGATGCTGGCATATTTTGGTGTTCCCATAGACCAGGTAATGTCCTAATACATTTGAATGATTCTGCTGTCTTTGTTATTCTGTCTTATTTTTAAAATAATTTGTATGTAAACATTTAAGGCAAAATTGTTAATTCTCTTTAGGTGGAACACAGGTGAGTTAGTACAGTATAGTTTTGATAGTTTGAATTAGAAAAGGGTGGATAAGATTATTGAGAACCTTTTTACTTCCTGGGTCAAATGTGAAAAGAAGATGAAGGCACAATGAAGACATGACCTTTACAGAATTATATTTATTGCATAGATAAAGTAATTTGTGAGCAGTTTGATGTTTGGGTGTACAATGGCAAAATTGAAGCTCAGCAATTCAGAATAAATCTGAGGGTGAGAGGATGACTTAGACTTGGGAATTATAAGCAAGTCCAATTTTGTCTACTTGTTGAACATCAACATTGAAAAGTGTTCTTGGTTCTGCAGATAATTTAGAGGCTTAAGTTACACTCAAAGTTACTTAAGTTACACTCAAATTTTACATGGTTCTTGTATTCATTATGTTTATGGGCAATAAGAAACAAATATAACTATAGTATGAGATTGACTATAAGAAAGACCAAATAGCATAGTGGCTTACAAATGGGCACATCATTGCTATTTGGTGGAGTGAATTAGAAGAGTAGTAAGGATAATGCTAAGATTTTAAACAAAAGTAAATTGAAGAATGATGGCACCATTATTATAAGTAGACAACTTAGTAGCAGGATATGAGAAAGTGATTTGAGATAAGGTGAGCTAGAGGTGTTGTTGGAATATATAAACAGAAATATCCCATAGACAATTGTTTAGTTGGTTCTAGAAGCTAGGAAAAAAGAGAGATTTGGATTTGGGAGTTAGCTGCATTGTTTTGATATCTGAAGCCATGGATTTTGATGACATAATGGAAGATGTTATTAGATGTTTTTGAAACATTGAAATCTCAGTGACAGACTGAAGACAGGGAGGATTAGATAGCAGTTGAAGATTTACTTATCATTATTGGGTTATTGGTGCCTTTAAGAATTTTTGTAGGAGGAGATAGGATTTAATTGGGTGGAGTAGTTTGAAGAATATGAAGAAGTGTCTTCAACAGCCTTCTTTTGAATAGTTTGCTTGTGAGAAGAAATTGAGAGATTTCATCAATTTGAAGGGGCAGCAGGATTAGAATTTACTTTTCTTTTCAAAGTTAGAGGCAACTTTTAGCATATTTGCACTAAGTACAAATGAGAGAGGGTGATTGAACAATGTCTTGGAGAAGGTAATTGGACAGGGAATCTGAATAAATAAGCCTCAGGAAGAAGAGAAACAGTCTAAACTTAAGGAATAGAATAAAAGTGAGAGATGGTGGAGAGAGATTTTGAATGGAGAGTGTTAATGTAAAATAACAATTCTGTTTTAAAGGAAATAAGAAAAAAGTTTATTTTGAGCCAAATGTGAGTATCTATAGCCTGGGAACATGAATTCAGATTACCTGAAATGATGTTACACCATGGAAGAGGTTTCATGAGCTTTTATAGTTACAGAACAAAAGAAAGCTGTAAGTCAACACTTAGGTGGGCTATGCCAAGGTGGGCAGATCTCTTCCATGGGATTTAGATGTTATCACATTCTCAGCTTTAGGGTTGATGGAGGCTAGAGCTGTGTCAAGCTTAGTAATACATTCTCAGAGTTTTATCTAGAAGTTAGGGTATTAGGTCAGATACAGAGGTTGACAGGAAATGGCTATTAAAAGGGACTAAAGATAGCCCAAGATATCATGCCTCATTCCCTGTCTCCACAATAAAGGTTAGTCTGCAGAATCTTTAATATGGATGCAGCTTGTATAACTTCACAAGGGAAATCAAGTTGAGATATCATGTTGAAATCTGGCTTACTCAGAGCAGAGGCAAGGTCATGTGCAAGGAATAGAAGTGGTCATACAGGGGATTTCAGAGATTAGAGATAACTTTGGGTGACATAGTACAACATGTCATGAAGTTTATATGTGCTTACTTTCATCTTTTTTTTTTTTTTAAATCTGTACTGGTGGTTGAAGCTAGGGTCTCATGCATGCTAGGCAAGTGCTCTATGACTGAGGTTCGTCCCTAGGCTTTTTAAAAATTTTTCAGTTTTATAACATGGTTTTGTTAATTGTTGAGGCTGGCCTTGAACTTATGATCCTCCTGCTCGGCCTCCCAAGTGGCTGGAGTTGCAGGTGTGTGCCACCACACCTAGCTCATTCTCCTCACCTTGCCCTACTGACAAATATTAGTAAAGTTCAATTCTTTGAAGAAGACACTTACCCCCATGCTGGGGATCAAACTCAAGGCCTTGTGCTTGCTTGGCAAGCTCTCTACCACTAAAATAACACACCCAGCCTCATGAAGAAGATACTTTGAGAGAGTGTGTGTGTGTATATATATAATATATATTTAGACATGTACATTTTAATTAGTGTACATTTTAGGTAATAATTCATGTTTAAATAGGTTTTGCTGACTTGGGAAAATAAAGACTATGGATCAACTCGGAGTATTGTTCGTATTATTGGGAAAATGCTTCCTTTAGAACCTTGTAGAAGACCTGCTTTTGAGGTAAGTCAGTTACCATGATTTAAGTCCAGTGTATAAAATAATTGTAGGTACTCCTAAGTATTTAGGGTAGAACAACAAAAGGAAATGTTTTCTGTAAGCCAGGAACCTTTAATTTACCTCTGGATATAAGTCATTTTGCATTTGCTTTTGTGGTTACTGTTTCTTTTAAGTAATTAGATTTAAAAAAAAGAAGAAGAAGAAAGAAAACTGGCAGTTGCAAGAAAGACTGCAGAGCATATTTTATTTTACATTGTATGACAGATAAGAGTGACTAGGTTACAGAATAGCATTGACCCCAGTATTTTTTCTTGCTAACAGGTGCATGTGCTTCTACTGAAGAACTTTGTTCCTTTTCTCTCTTTGGGGTTGTTAATTTATTTAATGCCATGGGATATGGGACATGTGCCTTCTCTGACTCCCTGCAAAGCTCTGACTTTTTAATTTTTTTGCTTTAGTTGATCCCGCACTTGAACTCTGTAGAATCTGATAATTGTGGATCTATGGTTCCATCTTTTGCTGATGTTTTATGTGTGGCAAATGATGAAGAAGCCAGTTATCTCAGATTTCGGTAATTTATATGCTTATTTTGGAAGTATGACATAATCTATAACCTGAATTCTTGCATGTGTTAAAAGTTTGCTCAAGTTGATTGAACTTTTTTGTTCTGTCTGGCTCTGTCCTGTGCTGTGTTTTACTAATCCCTCCTTATGTGGGTGGTCTCTCTTTCTCTCTTTTTTTTAATAGTTTTTCTTTTTCTCTTAGGGAGAACTAACTTATGTATTAGTATATTCAGATACAGGCTATAAGTATAATGAGTGTCAGTTACTAAAAGATTCTGGCTGAATTTATTATGTGTCAAATTGGCTTGTTAATTTTCAAAAAGTTTGAAGTCCAGGGCTTGAATCCAGGGGTGCTTTACCACTAAACCACATCCCCAGCATAATCTTGAATTTGCTGTGCTTCAAATACTATGCCAAGTCCACAAGAATGAAGTGATGTGTAAGTGTTGTATTAGGTATTTTAAGTAATCTAGAGAAGATTTAAAGTATGCAAGAGGATATACATAGGTTAAGTGCAATTATTGTACTTCTTTATGTAAGGTACTTGAGCATTCTTGAATTTTAATATCTACATGTGTCCTGGAACCAGTTACCCACACACACTGAGAGAGGACTGTATTTTAAAATTGAATGTTAGTCTCTTAGGTAAGAGAACTAACTTATGTATTAGAATATTCAGATATAGGCTATAAGTACAATGAGTGTCAGTTATTAAAAGATTCTGGCTGAATTTATTATGTGTCAAACTGGGTTGTCAATTTTCAAAAAGTTTGAAGACCATAAACTAGCTCCCTTACCTCTAACATAATCCTGAATGGAAGGCCCTTCAGCTCCTCTGCAGAATTTCTAGGAAAATTAACCTACACTGTGTTTAAAGTTAATAGGTTAAGCAATTACAAGATAATTATTTTTATTGTACAATCTAAAAGAAAGGTTAACTTTCATTACCAGTCACATATTGGCCATCTATTAGAGGCTGTATTCTGTTTTTCATATTGAGAATACAATACTTACAAAGCACAAAAAATTGTGCTTGTCCTTAGTGAGTCAAGAGACGATCACAGGGGAAAATGTTGCTCTGATTTTGTGGTGTTGTCTTTTCAGTGCTGGGGATCAAACCCAGGGCCTTTGTGCATCCTAGGCAAGGGCTCTAACATGGAGCTATACCCCCAGCCCTGCTTTATTGTCTTGCTTTCATGAGAGATTTTATTTTCTTTAGATTGAAAATCTCCCTTCCATCCTTTGCTTTTTCCTTCTACCCACAGAAATAGTACATGGAAAAATGAAGAAAAGGAAAAAAATGAATTTTCCCATCCTTTACAACCAATTTTGCATCCACTGTTATCAGCTCAAAGACAGAACAAACCAGTGAAAAATGATCTGCCTGTAAATGAAGCTGCAATTAAAAAAATAGCTGCCCTTGAAGATGAGCTTACTTTTCTTCGCTCTCAGATTGCAGCAATTGTGGAAATGCAGGAACTAAGAAATAGAAAAAAATCTGGTGAGTAATATGTTGGACTTTTGTTTCAGCTAGATGATAATTATTGGTATTGAGTTAGTACAATTCTTAATAAGAACTGTGAACAGTATTAAATGTATGATAACAAAATTTGAGTATATAGATTTATTATATCTGATGTTTATTCAGAATAGATCTAGCTATTGCTACTGATGATTGCTTTTTTTTTTTATTAAAAAATTCTTCCCTTTTAAGAAGCTTTCCTAGCTTTCAGAACATTGGAGATTAAAAGAAAGAATCCATTGGTTTGAAAGAGGCAAATAGGCTTGTGGCCTCATTATAGTTTTTACTTAATGTTACTACACTTCCACCAAGTTCAGGTGAACAATATTTTTCAGATGATCCTTTTCTAAATTTTTAGAGCTATAACTTGCTTTAAACACAAAATTTAAAGCAACATAGGTACTAAGAACTTTCCACAACAGATTTGGTCATAAAGGGCTATATGTAAATAAAGCTGCTAAAAAATTGAATAATGTATATGCATATATAGTATATAAGCATAATTTATACAGCATCAAGATGTGTATAGCATGTGTTTATAATAATTTATACATAAATAAAGCACATAGTATATAATAGTTATATAAACTCAAAATAAATAAATACACAACTTTTTTGTCAATTCGTGTTTACTCACAGTTCTTCAGAAGCAAATCTGTTGTGAAAAAGCTAAATAATCTGTACCTAAAAAATAATGTTTATTTCTCAAATGTCAGAATGAAGTTCAAATTGTATGTGAATTATGGAAAAACATTTTCTCTTGAAAATACATTCTTTAGGGCCTGCCTACATGGAGAATTTCTAGTTGAATTACAAGTGAATTCACAATTTGGCTTGACTTTACAGAAGCTACTAAACAGACGGGATTAATTCTTCTGGGCTATCATATCACTGTTTTAGCATCATTACAGAGTTGTTTTGTTTTGGTTCTCATTACTCTTATATGTTAGAATTTTGAATGTTTTTTCAACAGACTACTTTGCTTTTAGGCTCCTTTGACTTGAATGATGAGCCCCCTGGTGTGGGAAGAATGCCATCACGGGCAACCGCTGAACTGAGTGTAGAACCAGATCAGTTTCCAAGTGCAATGCTTTCTCCTCCTTCACCACCACCGCTTCCTCCTCATTTTTCTTCTCCTCAGCTTTCAAGTTTTCCTCCCATACAACCAGGATCTACTAATATTTGTGACTCAGATAATCCAATAGCTGAAATGAAAAAGCAGCACCCCGGTGCTAAGACCAATTATAGTCATCATTCAAAAAGCCAGAGAAATAAAGAAGTTCCAAACATGTTGGATGTTCTAAAGGATATGAATAAGGTCAAGCTCCGTGCTATTGAACGGTATGTTGTCATAATTTGGGAAAAGAACTAGACTTTTGTCAATGATGTTTTTAAAAAAATTGTTTATGAAAGTTGACATATGTCTTTCTTCTTATTCCTCATCACCCTGAATGCTCCTCCCAGAGATACTCATTTTTAAAAAATATTTATTTAGTTATAGATGAACACACAGTATCTTTACTTATTTTTATGTGATGCTGAGGATTGAACCTAGTGCCTCACACATGCGAGGCAAGCACTTCACCACTGAGCTATAGCCTCAGCCCCTTTAATTCTTTTTTGACTATTTCTTCTTTCTTTCTTTCTTCCTTTCTCCTTCCCTTCCCCTGTTCTCCCCTCTCCTGACCTCTCCTCCCCTCCCTTCCCTTCCCTTCTCTTCCCACCCTTCCTATCCCTACCCGTCTCTTTCCTTCTCCACTTAGTCTTCCTCTTATCCACTGTTGTGTTTTCCAGTTAACCAAGTCATTTATTTATGGTTTCAGTTACCCATGGTAATTGTGGTCTGAAAATATTAAATGGAAAATTGCAGAAATAATAAAGTTTAAGTTGTGTGCTAATCTAAGTAGCATGAAGAAACAGTAGGCATTCAGGGAAGATCATATATGAATGATCAGACAAATGAACAGTCAGCCTAATGGTTTTCTTCTTATGAACTCTAGTCCTTTTAAAAGGTCTTAAATATTTATTTAAATTTTCCTACTTATCGGAAAATTAGAAAATTAAAAATAAAGGTTTTCAGCACAGTGATATTTCAGGAGTCCCAGTTTTTAGCAAGTTGTGGTAGAACCCTAGCCCATATGGTTTCTTGTTTTTCTTGTTCACTGTGCCCTCCAAATTCCAAATATTAAAGTTTTAATTTACACATTTTTTAAAAACAGGTCACCTGGTGGTAGACCCATTCATAAGAGGAAAAGACGAAGTTCACATTGGGATCCCGTGTCCTTAATATCACATGCACTTAAGCAGAAATTTGCATCCCAAGAAGATGACTCCTTTGACAAAGAAAATAGATCTTGTGATTCTTCTCCATGTAATAGATCTTGGGAGTCTTCTCCATTTTCTAGTCCAGAAGCTTCAAGGGTGAGCTATAACAGTATAAAATTTTAACGTCTAAGTTTTTCTCAAGTATGCTGTTTGTGATGTAGCTTCATATTTAAGTTCTCTTGAAGTAATTATGCAGGATGGACTATAAATTGTTGGCATTGTTTATTGTTCTTTAGCTTACAAAATAAAACACTTGGTTTGGAAAAGATATGTGCCTAAGTTTATAATTGTTTATCCTACATAGGCGCTAACTTAATGTTACAGTCTGCAGCATGAAGTGGGGGTCTGAAGCTGAGAGGACCAGGGAAGAACCATGCAGTATATTCAACCTTACCATTTCAAAGGCACCACTCCAATATTTGATGCAGTCAAATATAAAGACTGGATTATTTAGTTGCATGGAATGTTATCTCTACTTTTAACAAAGCAAATGGGATTACAGTTATCTTTCATAACAACACTTATTGGATGCTGAAAAAGTCACATGCTTTTTGGGTGGTGTTCACATCACAGAATTTAGTTGAGGTAGTACATAGAAGAAGCCTTAGAAATGAGAGGAGCGTGGAAGAGGCACAGTGTTGAAGTCAGGTAGGTATCACTGCTGAGTGACCTGCAGCAGCAGAGACTGGGAAACTGCAGTGCACACGGGGCACTCAGCATAACGGCCCTCCTCATAGTCCACGGTGTGCAGGCTTTCAGTCCACTGTGTGTGTCCAGTCGTCATATGCTGAGCACATTGACTCAGAAAATGATGTTCTTTTTCAGTTCATGCTGCAGACTGTAAGACTATTTAAGAAGAAAAGTATATAGTTTACTAAAATGCAAATGTGTCAAATACTAAACATTTATATAGCAATTTATAATTTGCAAGATAAAGGCCATTTATAGGTTTTGCATTCATGGATTCAACCAGCCATGTAGAAAAATTTTGAAAACAATAACAAAAACCCTATATCAGTAGAAGCCTATAGAAGTTTTTCTTGTCATTATTTCTTTAACAATATAGGACAACTACTATTTACAGAGTGTTTATACTGTATTGGCATTACAAGTAATCTAGGGATGATTTAGTTTATACAGACGGATGTGTTTAGGTTTATATGCAAGTTATGTCATTTTATATGAGGGACCTGTACATCTGTGGATTTTGGTACTCCTGGGGGTCCTGGAACAAATCCTCTATGGATACTGAGGGAGAGCTATTTTTTTTTTTTTTTTAAACTCTTGTTTGATCCTTATAGGAATACTCTAAAAGAAAAAAATAATGTAAATATTGCTTGTTTTACATATGAGGAAAATGAACTTTCACTCCCCATAATCTTACATCTAAGCAGAACAGATTAGAGTTTAGTATATTAAAATTCTAGATGTTTGAAAAGTCTCAGTTATCTAAGAAATCAATTTAAATGAGACACACTGGCAGTGTGTTCCCAGTGGCAGTGTTCAGTAAAGTATTACTGAGTTGTCATATACTGTTTGCTCTTTGTTCAGTGTCCCTTAGTATTTTCTTTCCAATCAACTCTGAGCCTTTTAGTGGAAGAATCAAAAACATCCTTTTGTATATTTTATAACACCTAGTTTCAGGCTCGAGAAAGGGACTTAAATTTTAGTTGACTGGGATCTCATTCTGCTATGGTTTGAATATGTCAGTGTCCCCCAAAGGTTCATGTATTAAAGCATGTTCTATAGGGTGGTCCTCTTGGGAGGTGCTGTGAGCCTACTGGGAAGTCCTTGGGTCACTGGGGGCATGCCTTTAAAGGGAATTGTGGGACTCTGGCCCCTTTATGTCTTTTTCTTCTTCCCAGCTCATGAGGTGAACAGTTTGGCTCCACTATACACTCCTGTATGATGTGCTGCCCTTGCAGAGGCCCAAAGCAATGGGGCTTAAGTTAATTGCCTTAGATGTTTCATTATAGTATCACAAAGCTAACGCATTCTCCATGGTTGAGAGTGTCTTTGCACACTTCTGCACTGAGAATAGTGCCTGATGTGGCCTACCCTGAAGTCACTATTTACCATCGAGTGAATTAAACATTGGGGTCATCTGGTGTTTTTCTTGCCATTCTTTTTCTACATTTGAATAATTTCTGTGTTGAACATTTGTTTTATTTCAGTTTGGACATCACAATTCACAGACAGAAGGACAGTGATCTGAGGGAAGAGCTGATAATGCACAAAAGCTGTTGGACAAAGTATTGGGCACAAAAAGTCTTTCTTCACTTGGAAGGAAAGATGCAGAAATATGGCAGCATGTCTTTCGCTGCCTTTCACAGGATCAGCTCCTCTGCCCAGGATTGTTGAATGAAGCCTGTATCCTGGGACATGTTAGGGCCCTGGTCTGAGGAAGAATACCTGTCTCCAGTTTTGGAAGATTCTGCAGTTAACTGACTACTGAAGAGAGTTAGGTGTATGGATTTTTTCCCATGTATGTCAACATTATTGAAAGCTGACTATACGTTCCAACAATTGTCCTCAGCAATTCTGACTTCCCAGTTTAAAAGCCTTTGAATCTTTTAAAAATCGGTAGTGATCTGGCTTACATGGCCTCCAGTAACTTGGAGATTTTCAAAGAAGATAAAATTATAATTTATTAAGAAACTCTTAGTTTTAATCATAGGGTTAAGCTTTTTGAAACTTCTTCCTGAGATAATAAATTAGTCTTGGACACAGATTTTGTTTAAGTGATACAAGTACAAGTATTTAAAGAATCTTCTTGACATGTTTTGCCTGCACTTGTGATGTAAACATGTATGCCTGACATCTGTTTCTTTCATTCTGTATTACATTTATACATTGTTCTTTTGCAAATAGATTGTACAATAAATGTGTCTTTTGAACATGATTGTGTTTTGTAGCAATTCAAAAGAATGCTTTCTCACTACTCACAATGTGTCAGAGAGAGGGAGTTCTGTAGGTAGTTTCTTGGGAAATAAAAAGGAAACATATTTGACATAAGATCTTGTCCCTCTTCACCCACATGCTGATGTGATATGGAAACTTATCAGCCTGTGCAACAGCCAGGGAGTTAGAAACCATCTCAGTGGACTCGGCACCCAGCCATTTTGCCAGGCTTTCTACTTTCTGAAAAGTTTAGGCTGCTGTTTTCTTGCTGTGGCAGAGGGTTGGTTGCCTGGTCCCATTTCCATTTCCAACTCCATTCTCCTGGTACCTGCCATTTGGTTGTGGTCATGCTGTTATCATCTTATGTCCGTGGGGAGGAGGCTTTGGGTCACTGAGGTGCAAACCCTGACATTCTGAGTTGTTTAACCACACCAGCAAGACTAACCAGACTTGTTAGAAAGATTATCTTAGAAAAACCTGCCTCGTGGGTCTTCTGCTACTGTGGCCAAAGCACTTGTAACGGTACAGCAATATGGTAGGGTATGAGGTCTGCTAGCTGTTCCTAATGATGTGGTTTTCTGATCTTTCTTATGCTGCTGTCAGTAGTTTGGTATTGTTTCTGCCCTGTTTTCTCACCCTGCCTTGTGTCATTGTCCTTATAACAGGAATCTTTCCCCTGAAATAATTGCTTTCTGTTCCCCAAGGTAGGCTTGCATTTTGTTTTTTAGTTTCTTTGTTCAAAAGTATAATCATGTCCCCTCCCCCAGCAATCAGCAGAAACCTTGAATGATGCTGTCCTTGGCCATGTGAAGTGTTTCCTGATAAATCTCAAGTTGTTTTGTTGATGATTTTGAGTTTTCTGTTCTACTTCAGAATGAATTTCCTGCCTTCCCCAAACACATTTTAATACCAATGATGTATTGGAATCAAGTTGACCTTGGATACCCCTCTGTTCAGAAGTTTTGACTAATGGTGCCAGGGACCCTAAAATCCTCCCACTTCCCTGCACCCCCAGCAAGCCTCTCTAGTGGTCTGAGCTTGGGTACCTGGTGACTTGTGTTCACTATAGAGGTCAGAGGGTTGGGAATTTAGTTCAGGCTTTCATCATGAATCTGTAAATAAGTTACCTAATATCCAAATTGTATTCATAAATTCGTATGTTATTACTTTATGTGTTTTTCACTCAGGATTGAACCAGGAGCTACTGCATACTAGGCAAATGCTCTACCACTGAGCTACATTGCCAGTACTTACATTTTTAAAAAAAAATTGATGTGGTCTCCCTAAGTTGCTGAGGCTGGCCTCAAACTTGCCCTGGCCTCAGGCTACTATATATAACAATACAACACACAGGGTATCTAATTGGCAAAAATTTATTTCACAGTTCTAGAGCCTGGGAAGTCTAAGATCAAAGTGCCAGAAGGCTCAATGTCTGCTGAGGGCCTGCTTTCTGGTTCATACACAGTGTCCTGCTGGGTACTCACATGGTAGAAGGTTACTTGGCTCTCAGGGATCTATAAGAGTGCTAACTAATCCTAACTGGGAAGGCTTCAGCCTCATAATCTAATTCACCCCAAAGGCCTTACCTCCTAATATCACCTGGGGTGTGTGGGGGTGAACACCATTCCAACATATGAAACTTCAGGGGACATAAGCATTCAGTCCGTTGCAAATTATGTTTGGTGAGGAACAGCCATATATGTGGAAGGTAATTTATATGGTAGAAATGGGGGAAGAGTTTTAAAAAGTCTTCTGGATATTAAGCATGTACTTTCTTCAGATCAGAAAAGTTAAATACATAGTTGGATTTATTTTAAATTTAAATTCTCTCCCTTCCCTCCACAAAATCCCAGAGAGGTCAAGAACAGTGAAATGCAAGATTTTTATATCAGAAAAGGGGTGTTGCAGCTTGGGTTTTCTGGGGAGCAGACAGATTACTATGCAGCGAGTTTCTGGGTGTGTTCTCTGGATAGCACCCGTGCAGGAGAAGGAGAAGGGTTGGGTGAAAGCAGTTGTCACTGCCACAAGGTCCTCAGCAGATCCCACAGGGGGCTCTCTTGTCCCTTGGTTGGAGTCATCTTCTATGGCTCTGAGCATTCTGGGTCTTTACACTTTGATCAGAGAGGGTTGATTGGCAGGTCTGAAGATGGATCATGATAGTGTATCATAGTTACAGGGAACACAAGTTCCAAACATGTTGCAGGGCCCACTGAATTAGACATGACATCGTGCTGGAAATAGTACGGTTAGCTTGAGTAATATTAATTGCCTAGAATTACCAGCCTCATTGCCCTGCATCCTTCTACAAGGCTAGATCTTAAACTCATCCTCTTGAAAATGGTTGCATTCTTAAAATTGGGGGTCAGAAAGCATTTCTGTCACTAAAGATGTGTCCCTTTTGGATCCTCGGATTTCTGTGCCTGTGGATTGGCTTTGGTATCACAGCAATTTCTGTAGTGGCACGTGGAAATCAGGGGATGGGTAACCTATGGCTGGCTGGTCATAGCTTAGTCCTTTTCTCTTTATGGAAATAACTTGCATTTATGATGATTCAGGGGATTAAGCAGTTATAACAGCGTGGAAATGTACCAGGAGAACCGAATCATCCATTCTCTGGGCCTCAAGCTGCTCAACTGTCCAATGAGACCAGATGGTTGCAGGGGCAGTTTTCGTACTCTGTACCAACAATTCTTACCAGAAAGATGTGGTCTTGGGCTAGTTACCAGGGGGAAGGATTCTGTGGGTCCCTGAGAGCTTCTGTTATAGGGACCCAAGAGTGGTCTAAAGCTTATCTATAAGGCTACAGTGTTTTAGGCCAGAGCAACAGCTCTCATTTTGAATGACACTTAGGTACAAGATGCTGCTGTTAGTGATTTTCATATGTTGGCTCATTCAATCTGCATATCAACACGAGGAGGTGTAGACTATTGTTAGCCTCACTTTACAGGTGAGGAACTAAGTATGGAGAGAGGGCCTCCATCTCAGTAGCTCCTTCAGGTTCTCACAGTTGGTCAAATAGAAGACTTGAGATTTGAATACAGGCAGATGGGTTTTCCAAACTCTGTTTAATTCCTCAGTAACACTGCCAATCTCATTTTTTTTACCTATTTATTTAGACTTTGCATTTTTCCAGAAGGTATTTAAGGCAGTTAACAAGGATATATTTATGCATGGAACAATGAATTGAAAGGGATATAAAAAAGTAAGGCTACAGTTTTTTATATTTACCACAAGGGGGAAGTATAATACTAAGTGCACCCAGGCTGATGACAACCTGTTAACCACATTCGGATGACAAATTTTTAGAAATTATAGACAAAGCAAGGTTTGGTCAAATATTAATTGCAAAATCAGATTGTTAAAAAGTTCCTTAATGAATTATAAATAATCATACCCTTGATAGATCAGAGACTATGTCATGAAGCTAATTCAACTTTTTCCCCAACAAATAAATATTCTATAAAATTCAATGATGAAAGCAAGGGATGCTATTGCTGATTGTTAAATGTCAAGACTGCACTGGGATTCTCCCAAGTTCTTCTACTTGAGTACAATTATTTATTTCACAACTAGGAAGAAGCACAAAGCTTATTTTTAATAATGCCATTACAGTTCTTGCTTTTATCCCGATACACACCAGTAAATTAAAGTGGTGGAATTTTTACTAGGTCACATGCAAATAAATACTTTGAAAGATTCTTCAATTGCTTAAAAGATCCTATCTTCATTTTTCCTCCCTTGCATCTTAGCCCAGCGTCTTCCACAGCTGAACTAAGCCTGGTGGAAAGTAAATCTTGATGAGGGTATTTGCAATTTCGAACCCAGCCGCTGGGGCACAGGAACTAAGGTGCCTGGGATTATCATCTCAGTGGGAGAATGCCCTGTCCCTTTTGGATTTAGCCTTTGGTATCTGCCTGTTTCTGATTCTGATTCCCCCAGAATCCCTTCAATTCACCTCTCTGTTCAGGCTTGTGGCCTTGTCCTTGACAGCTGGTGGACAGGGGGCCAGTGCTCTGCCTGCTTATGCCAACCCTCTTCTCGTGAAACCAGCCCATGCTTTCTGCCTGTTGTAGTCAGGCTGTCTGTGGTCAAATGAAGATCATTAATCTTAACAGCTGAATTCGTTGAACACTGAATCTGCACTAGCCATGGCACTAGGCACTTCACACGCATCAATTTGTTAAATCCTCACAATAATCTTAATGAAATAGGTACCACCATGCTCCATTTTTCCCGAGGACACTGAGGAACAGAGAGGTAAATACTTTACCCAAGATCATACCTAAATTAGTAAACTCCTAAACTGAACTCAAACTTGGGCAGTCTGGCCTCAGATCCTGAGCTCCCAATGATAATCCACTCCTTCCCAATGACTGCTGCCATTTCATCTGACTGTAAAGTTGCTTTCCCATGCTCTAGAGCAGCCTGCAACTTCTGGTCTCCATGGCTGGCTTAATCTGTGCCTTTGCTGTTTCCACCAGTGGGAATTCCTACCCATTGCTCAAGACAATGTTTAAAGGCATTTTTCTCAGAAGACTTTTTTTTTTTTTTTAAACCTCTTGTCTACCCTGCAGCAGATAGGACCATTTTCTACTTTGTTTCACACGGAACCAAGTATCCTCTCTGCTACTGGACCTATTGCAGTTATAATTGATTTCTGACCTGTTGTTCCCCAGCTCCCCTGGGATCTTTTGACCAACTTAGAGGTAGGGACTGGGTCTTACTCATCTCATTTCTTCATAAATCCAAACAACAATCATAACTAACAATTAGTGAGTGCTTTAATTATCTTATTTAAGAGAGATAATTGAAGGAGGAGGTAGTATTACAGGAAGAAAATGGAGTTTTACTTAAAAAGGTCAGTGGAAGAGTTGGGATTGGGCATAGGATCGTGTGATTTGAGAGTCCATGCCTGTGACTATTAGACCATGCATCCTCTGTTGTTATGTGGAATAGAAAATAGACATGATATAAACCTACTTAAAACTACATTTAGTGACT